TTTTTCTCTTTTCTTTTTTTTAGGCAGGGTCTCACTATGTAGCCCAGGCTGGCCTTGAGCTCAGAGATCCTCCTGCCTCAGCCTCCCAGGTAGTAAGCTAACAGAGGTGTGCCACCATGCCTGGCTCCGGGTTGCTTCTTCTGGGGATACTGCTGGCTCCCAGAGGGGTTGGCGGCTGTGGTCAGCATGGCCACTTGCCTCTCTGTCCCTTCCCCACTGATGAGAAACCATGGTACTGGCACCCCGATGACCTCGTTTTGATCCGGTCACACCTGAAAGGACCCCCTCTCCAAATACGGTCACATTCCGCAGGCTGAGCGGAGGACTTCAAGGTAGTGAGGCACACAACCATAACTGATAGCATCTTCCAAGGCTCATGTTCTTCATGGGAGGCCACTTAGTGACTTATTAAGACCCCGTCTCAAAATAAAAACTACACAAAGAGCCAGGCATGGGGGCATACACCTGTAATTCCAGCACTCCAGAGGCTGAGACAGGAGGGTTGCAGCATGTTCGAGGCCAGCCTGGGCTACACAGCGAGACCCTGTCTCAACGCCTACCCCCCCAAAAGAAAAGAAAATAAACAAGGGCTAGGGATGCAGGAGCTCATTGCAAAGGGCCGGAGTTTGATGCCCTTCCTCTGTCCACACGCTTTCTTTGAAGATGATGCCAGGACCAGGGCAGCCACTTTGGATCCATGAGGGGAGCTGGGCCAACCAGCAAGCAAGCATGGAGGCACAGAAAGCTGAGAAAGAAGGCAGGTCTATGGTGCTTTTCCTGGGGCTCTGAATAACACAAACCGGAGTCCCTGCCCCGAGACTTGCTGCGTGAGATGCTGGATTTCCCTTATTGCTTAAGCTGACGGGAAAGGCCATGCGGTGCTTACCAGAAAACTCTCCTTAGGAAGTGGCCTGCGGAGAGACTTCCACAGGCCGTGGGAAGGGCATGGCTGCCTCGGCCCAGAGAAGCTGGGAAGGAAACTGGCTGCTCTTTCTCTCCCCTTTTTGGAGGGGTGGGTGGGGTTAGTGAGGATCAAACCCAGGCCATTCTATCACTGAACTACACCCCAGCCTTTTTTTTTTTTTTCTTATTTTAAGACAGCTCACACTAATTTGCCAGTCAGGACTCAAACATGCGACCGTCCTGTTCCTGCCTCCTGAGTGCTGGCTCCACAGGCACGCACTATCACCCTCTCGGAGCCGTTCACACCTTGAGTCCCCAGGGAGGTGGCCTGTGTGTCACTGTCCTGACGGTGGGCTCCCCTGGGGATGAGCTCTTCTAGGGCTGGCGCTCACAGAGACCGAGTTCGGAGCCCCCATGCCCAGCCCTCCAGCCTATGACCCTGCTGAGCACCTTCCAGGCCTCGGTTGTGCAAGGGCCCACAATGCTCCCTGCCCCGAGGAAGGAAGCAAGGAATCATCCCTGCTCTGGGGCTTCCCAGAGGTGGGGCCCCGGCAAAAATGGGGCAGCGGTAGAGGCAGGGCAACCTGCTGGGTGCCAGGGAGTCACCTGGAGCACTGGAAGCTGAGCCCAGGAGGCCTCTCCGAGGCGCCGGCTGGAGGGCAGGCGAGGACTGGCCCGGGAAGTCACGATGCCCAGCCTCAGGTGACTTGTGTGTCCCAGGTCCTGGGCTAGAAAGGAAATCACAGTCCCACAGACAGGCAGGAAGTCACGCCTTTGCACTAAACTACATCTCCAGCCAAGTTTTATTTTTTATTTTGAGACAGGGTCTGGCTGAACTGCTGTTTCCCAGGCTGGGCTGGAACTTGGGGTCCTCCCGCCTCACTCTCTGGGGGTGCTGGGAACATAGGCATACACACCAGCACATGGACCTCAGCCCACCAAGACCAGGCTGAGAGGAGCAAAGCACTGCTAAACACAAGCTGCGGGTGAAGGAACCCCTAGGCCGAGGCACTGTCTCCGTGGCCTTCGTGGCCGCTGACTGGCCCAGCCCAGCCCGCTGTCACCCGCTCCTTCCCAGTGAGCCACCGGGCTGGGCCAGGCGGGGCCCTGATGCCAGCCGAGTCCTGCCCCTTCCATGCATTGCGGCGCGGGTGACGCCACAGGTGACGACACCCTGGCTCAGCCGGGGCCTCCCCGACAGCAGCCTTCCCTGTCCAGGGGACGGCGTGCGCACCACGGTCAGAGGGGGCCACTTTCAGCCTCCCAGGAGGAGACTGGGCTACTGGAAACGCTCCAAACAACTTGGGGCAAGGCCCCGACTCCCACATCCAGATGGGATTGGTGCGCTGCGCCTGGTCTGCCTTCCCAGGTGTGCCGAGTGGGGGCGCCTCACCCAGACAGGAAGGAACTTCCAAAGGGCTTGGACAGCTGATGTGAACCTCACTCCACAGTCAACTCTCCAAATGCTTCTGGAAGAAACTGGGAGCTGAGCATGGCAGTGCGCCCTTAAAAATCCCAGCACTCTGGGAGGCTGATGCAGGAGGATCACAAGTTCAACCCCAGCCTGGGAAACTTAGTGACAAGACCCTATCTCAAAGTTAAAAAGCTGAGATTGCAACTGAGTACAAAAGCCATGGGTTCAATTCCCAGAACTCAAAGAAAGAAAGAAGGAGAGAGGGAGAAAAAACTCAGTGAGGCAGAGTATGACTGGATGTGTAGGCAGGACACAAAACATGCCATCCAGAAAGCCCTCAATATTCCAACACTGAGTGTGACTCCTTACATTTGTAATCGCTGAATACCTTGGCAAATCCTTTCAAGGAAAATACAATTAAGAAGAAAAAGCAGGGCGTGGTGGTGTACACCTATAAACCTGTAGGCTGAGACAGGAGGATCACTCCAAATTCAAGGCCAGCTGGGCTACATAGCAAGACCCAGTCTCAAAACCAAACAAAAAAACCCTTCTACATGAGAGTAACTTTCAGGGATTTGTTGTCATCCATCTGACAAGGGTGTGATGTGTTGCTTCTGATTTCTGATTTTTGCAGTGATGGGACAGAACTCAGCCCATCTGTCCTCATCTTGAGTGGGTCTCCCCACTCCGAGCTACTTCCCCAGTCCTTGTTGCTTTTCTCTCAGCGAAAACAGGCAGGGAGAGGGTGTGGCCCATGGAACACATGCAGTCAGTGAAGTCCTGCTGGACTCGGGCTGGGCTTAGTCACCACTTATCTGCTGGGATCCAGGTCAGTGGCTGAGTCTTGACTCAGCCCCGCTGCCCACACACCTGCTGCCAGGGATTCTCCGCCCAAGCCTGCCAGGCCTGTGTGCCAGTTCCCCTGGGCCTCAGCTCCCTGCCTGACCAGTGGGGCGCCCACAGGGCCTCGCCCCCTGGCTCCCTGAGCCAGAGCTTTTGCTGCTCAGTTCCAATCTCCTAAGGCTAACGTGGCATTGCCATCCTGCCACCCTGTCCTTCCTCCCATGCCAGATGCCAAGGGGTCCCACATGCAAGATACATGCTGCCCTGGGAGCTGGGCACTGAGGGAGAACGGCCTTCTTCACAGAGGGGGAATCAAAGATGTCCCAGGTAGCCAGGATGGTGGTGCACGCCTGTAATCACAGCACTCTGCGAGGCTGAGACAGGAGGATGCCAAGTTAGAGCCCAACCTGGGCAACTTAGCAAGTTAGCAAGACCCTGTCTCAAAATAACTGTGAACAAAGGGCTGGGGAGGCAGCTCAGTGCAAGGTCCTGGGTTTAATCCACAAGGTAAGAAAAAAAGAAAGTCCCGTGTAGTGCTTCAGGCTGTCACTTTCTCTATCTGGGGAAGAAACAAGCCTGTTGGGGTCCAACTGACTCCCTTCTCCCTCCCCCTAGTCCAAGATACTTGACAGCAATGGTTGTTCTCACAGGCAAGGGTCCTGCCTAAGCTGTTCTGTTTCCCTTTCTGCAGAGGCCTTGTCCGTTTTGGGAAAGGCTGCTCAATTACTCAAGAAACTGGTATTCAGACTGTGCCCCAGGCTGGTAGGATACCAGGGGCGTCTTTTATTCTTCCCTGGCTTGGGTGGCTGTAAAGACTTGGATGGCTGAGGTTGAAGCCCTGAGAAAGGAGATGACTTGCGTCCAGTGTGGCTGAGTTACTCCAGGGTTCTCCAACTCCAAACCCCCGAATACCCCGGGGTAGATTTACATTCCACCCCCACCCCGTCTCACTCACACACACAAACACACAACAACAAAAAGAAATGAAGGACCATCTCAACACTCCGGGAAGCTGAGGGAGGAGGATCGCAACAACTTCGAGCCCAGCCAGCCCTCGGCCATGGTGCGGGAACCCTCCGCACCTCCTCCGCGCTCTGCCTCTCTGCTCCCCGACTGGGGTCGCGGAGCTGCACCGGAAACGCTTAGAGCCCGTCTCCAGCTAGAAGGCGCCGGGCCACAGGGTGCAGAGTCCGCTCCGCCGTGTCTACGCGGCCCGCGCGCCCCGGGACTCAGCTCGCATCGGCGATTTCCCTTTCCTGCCCTAGGGGACGAGGCATCGAATGCGAAGTGAAAAATAAAGATTTGCGCGGCTGCAGACGCTGAAACGGAGCGAGGTGCAAAGGCTCTGCACTCCCCGCTCCAGGACCTGCGGCGCAGTTCGCGTGCGCTGGCCGGAACTCCGCCGCAGTCAGCGGGAGCCTGAGGGCGCGGTGCGCGTGCGCAAGTGGGCTGCAGCCAGGCCCGCGAGGCCAGGGGCGTGGTGCGCCTGCGCGGGCTTCCCTCGGGGCTGGGCTGGTGGCGAAGCCGGGCTGGGCGCGGCGAGAGGGCGCGGCGCGAGGCCGCGGGGCGGGCACGCGCGGGACGGGCGGCCCTCGGTGACACTGACGTTTCCCCGCCCGCGCCCCCGCCCCCGCCCCCGCCCCCCCCGTCCGGCCTCGGTTGGCCCCCGCCGAGCCCCCGCCCCTCCCCTGCCTCCCGGCCGGAACCGATTGCGGCTGGTTTGAGCTGGTGCGTCTCCATGGCGACGCGCGTGGCGTATAAGTAGCGGCGCGGCGCCGTCGGCTTTGTCAGTCGCCGCATCCGCCGCCGCCGGCCGCCCTCAGCCAGCAGCTCGGCGCCATCTCGGGCCGGCGTCTCTGGCGGGCGCAGCGAGGCGGCGGGGGCGGCGGGCGGCCCAGCGCTGCGGCCTGGTCCCGGCTCGGTCTTCGCCCGTCTCGGCTCCGGCGCTCCCATGGGGCCAGCCCTTGGCGCCCAGGCGCTCTGAGGTGAGGGAGAGCGCGGGCGGGCGGGCGGCGCAGCCACGTGTGCGGGCCGCCGGGTGACACGTGGTCGCCGGGCCTCCGCCACCTTGGTGACCCCTTCTGCGGCGCGGGGTCGCTCCCGCGCGGCCACCCTGGCCCTCGTCTCCCCCGGGGTGGCCGCGGGCTGGCGACACCCGCCGGGCCGGAAGCGTGGAAGGCCGCGTTCCCCTCGCGGCAAGTGCAACGGGCGCCGGGCCGGTCCTCCGCCCCGCGGACCCGCGATCGCAGCCCCTGCTGTTCTTAGTTATTTCTCCTGGGCGCTCAGAACAGGCGGCACCGACGGGCGAAGTTTGCGGGAGTTGCTAGTTTTCAGACTGCCCGAGAGTAACAGTAATAAGGGGAACCGAACCCCCATGGCTAAGGAGTGTTTATTTAAAGACTCCGATTTAGCAATGTAAGAAAAAAGCCTGGCGCTCCTAAGGGGTCGGGTGTGGTGACTGCACGCCTATAATCCTAGCGCTGGGAGGCGGAGGCAGGAGGATCACCGCTAGTTCGAGGCCACCCTGGGCTACAAAGCGAGGCCTTGTCTCAAACACCGCCCACCCCCAAAAGTAAGCAGAAAGCTTTTATTCAGCGAACCGGCGTTCACATAGGAGCCAGCTGTGAGGTTTTAGCCAGGAGGTTGATGGTGTGGTTGGAGAACCCTAAGTGACGGATGAAAGTGAGGGAGACAGGCACCTTGGGTGTGTGGGGAAGACAAAGATGTGTTGCTTCATTCAGACCTAAAAGGGAGCAGTTCCATTGACTCACGAGGTTTTTAAAGTTTTTGTTTAAATGAGCTGCTGTCTCTTCCAACATGCCAGCTTGTGCTGATTAGCTATAAAGACCAGGTGGTGGGTGTGCCTAAGTCAGACTTTTCAGATAAGTTATTCAAGTAAAGCTTTAAAAAGATCCAGAAAAGCAAAATACTAAGTAGTGGTATATTTCAAAGAAATAAAGCCTTTCTGTTTAAGGTGCCTTTGATTCAAAGATGTGTAACAGGACTGTGATTGTTTGGTCTGTTACTGCCTGACTTCTTATCAGGCGATGGAAGGTGCCTGAGGCTTAAGACAGTGCCACCACGCCTGGGTTTGGGTTTGTTGCACCCTCGTATTCAGGGCCTCCAAGGCAGAGTGACTTCTGCCTTTGGCTGCCGCACTGAAGTGGGTCCGCACAGTGGAAAAGAGCCCTACCTGCTGGGAATTGGAACAGGTTAAAGTCAGTAATTTTAAGATAACTCATTTGCCAGTGTCACATTTAGTGAAGGCCAAGGACAGGGCTTTTGTCATTACTATGGGGTTCTTGCTAATTTTTCTTATTCTTAGCTAAAAGTGACTCCCATATGGCAATCATTCATAGCTGCACAACTGGTAAGGGGAGTCAGAAGTCCCAGAACGGCTAATATAGTAGGAAACACCGGTTCTATAGTACCGGTCTGTGATTAGGTAAGAGCAGCTGCAGTACCGTGCATCATGGCAAAGGTCAGAGAATTAGCTCTGGAAATTCTCTGGAACTCTGCTCAGTGAACCGCATGGTTTGGATAGTTCCACAACGCTGCTTAATTAGGAAAAGTCCTATGGAATTTAGTGGAGGGAGGGAATGGCAAGATGTCTCGGGCTGCAGGTTACTGCTGTAATACTCTTTCAGGTTTCTGAAGCGCTGAGACAGCTTCGAAATAAAGCTGATGAAACTGAGGTCCCTTGGGAGGCTTAGGCAGGACGACCACAAGTTAGCTTCTCACTGAGGCAGCTTGGTGAGACCCTGTCTCAGGGGATGTAGCTCAGTGTGAAAGGCCTGGCTCTGTTCCCAGTGTCGGGAAACAACAAAAAACACTTGTCCCGTCAGTGAGCTAAGTGCAGACAAACTTTTTGTGTGTGTTAGACAGGGTCTCACTGCAGCCAGGCTGGCCTCCACTCAGAGCAATCCTCTTGCCTTAGCTCCCTAGTGCTGAGATTATAGGCAGCCACACCCAGCTTCGGGCAAACTTGTGAAGACTTCCATCTGTATTCTGGACAAGCATATTTGAACTGCTTGTTTGGAAATGTGCTGTATCCCCCAGGGAATTTCTACGTGGTGTTGGGAAGAACAGTATTGGGTCTGAGGCTCCCCGCTCACGGAATCCTGGAATCTAGGAGTGAACGTTGGGATCTCACACCATCAGATCTGTCCCCAGGAGTAGTCGGTGGCTCTGCTTCCTGCCTGTGGTGACCCTGAGGTGACTTCTTAGAACATTTCAGCTGCTGCTTCAAGGACACGCTGGCCTGCATTACGTCTCTTAGCGGTCCAGGTGAGTGCTGAGCCCACCCTCAGGGCTGGGTGTGCAGCTGAGCTAAGGATTGGAGTAAGTTCCCCTCCCTGTTTCCCCTCCCTGTTTGCAGCTCCCTGTGTGCAGAGGTGTGGAGAAACCATGAACAGCTCCCGCAGTGAGGAGTTTGACTGCTACTTCCTCGATGAGGGCTTCACAGCCAAGGACATCTTGGACCAGAAGATCAACGAGGTCTCATCCTCCGTAAGTGAGGCCCATGCAGCACTGCACATCGGGGACTTGGGCTCTCCATGGCGGTGGGCGTCGGTGACAGTGGCGGGTGGACAGGAGCAAGACCTCGAAGGAGGGGACGAGAGGGCAGTGCCTGTTGTAGAGCTGCCAGTGGTTACCTGCTCCTCTCGTTTCAGGATGACAAGGACGCCTTCTATGTCGCAGACCTGGGGGACATTCTCAAGAAGCATCTGCGCTGGCTGAAAGCTCTCCCTCGAGTCACCCCCTTCTATGCAGTCAAGTGCAATGACAGCAGAGCCATTGTGAAGACCCTTGCCGCCATCGGCACGGGATTTGACTGTGCGAGCAAGGTACAGAGGGCAGCTGGCTTTGGACAGCAGATGCTAAGGAAAGGTGGGTGCCTGGCAGCTCCCATGTGCTTCTTGCTGTACAGCATGCCGTCTTTCTGTCCCCTCAGACAGAGATCCAGCTGGTGCAAAGTCTTGGGGTGCCCCCAGAGAGGATCATCTACGCCAACCCCTGCAAGCAGGTGTCGCAGATCAAGTATGCGGCCAGCAGCGGGGTCCAGATGATGACCTTTGACAGTGAGGTCGAGCTGCTGAAAGTGGCCCGGGCGCACCCAAAGGCCAAGTAAGTCGCTTATTCTCCCTCCTAGGGGGAGTGGGAGTGGAGATTCCTGGCAGCCCACCAGGAATTCCCAGTTAATTAGAAAATAACGTGAACTCAGCTGGTTGAGAAAAGCATGGTTTTCTCAACTCAGAGGGTGGGGCCAGCACTTAGCATAGGATACTCTTTTGTTTTGTTTTGTTTTGTTTTGGTACTGGGACCTTGCGCTTTCCAGGCAGGTGCTGGAACCACCAAGCTGAATCCCTGGCCCCAGGTTCTCTTTGTTTTGACCTCGGTGGTTCTGAGTGGTTCTCTGGCCTGAGGTGCGTGACATGCTCTTCTCTCAGGCTGGTCTTACGGATCGCCACCGACGATTCCAAAGCTGTCTGTCGCCTCAGTGTGAAATTTGGTGCCACACTCAAAACCAGCAGAGTCCTTTTGGAACGGGCAAAAGAGCTGAATATTGATGTCATCGGTGTCAGGTGAGGCCTTGGTGGCACTGTGTGCACCTGAGACACCAGGCAGTGCCAATGCCACAGGCTTTCTTCCAGTTGAATGTGAGACGGTAAGAGACCCTGTCTTCTCTGCCCTCAGCTTCCATGTGGGGAGCGGCTGCACTGACGCTGAGACCTTTGTGCAGGCTGTGTCGGACGCGCGCTGCATCTTTGACATGGGGGTGAGTGGTGAGGGCAGTGCCACAGCGAGTGCACCTTCTGCCCCGCGCAAGTCCTCCCGGGTTACAGTTTCGCTGGCCAGGGACACTGCTGTTGCTGTGGCACCCGCCTGACTGCTGCTCTTGACTCTAGGCTGAGGTTGGCTTCAGCATGTATCTGCTGGACATCGGTGGGGGCTTTCCTGGATCCGAGGACGTGAAGCTGAAATTTGAAGAGGTAATTTCTAACAAAACTGAGATACAGTGGCTATTACAGCATGTTCTTTTCTTAAAACTTTCTATTTTAATGTAATACAAGTAGATGTTAATAAAATATAAAAATTAGTTTTCTATGAAAACATGAAACAGTAATTGGAGAATAAAAATGATTAATATACTGTGTATTATGATCCTAGATAAAAAGATTCTCTTAGAAGAAACAAAAATGAAACTTTTTTTCAGTGAAGGAAAGAAACTAGTAGTATAAGTGAAACAAATTAGCATTTACATTATTAAGATATTTCTTAAACAACAGAGTAGATACTTTGGGCTACTTGAGCTTCCTTGCTTCCTGTTTATCTTGTGCTTTGCTCTTCAGCAAGAGTCTGAGACCTCACTGTGGCACCAAGCACCGGCTGGGACAGCCACTTAGCACCGTTTGTTCCTGCACTGAAAGCCCTCGGCCAGAGCTCTGGCAGTCAGTTCTCCATCTGAGAACTGCTGTGGGTTACACAGGGAGGCTGGCTTCCTTCGGCCTGTACTCTTGAGAGTGGTTTGCTACACTTGAGACTTCCTGTCCATAGGAAGTTAGGCCATTGTGTGATGCTTGGGTTAATTATTAGGATGGCACATGTCTGCCATCCCAGCACTCAGGAGGCTGAGGCAGGAGGAGTGCAAAGGGTTTGAGGCCAGCCTGGGCTGCATAGTGAGTTCAAGGGCAGCCTGGACTCCATAGGGAGGCCCTGTCTCGAAAAGCCAGTAAATAGGTTCACATTCTCATTTGTTAAGATTATGTGAAGGAGGCAGAGGGAAGGGTTTTTATCTCGATGGCATGTTTTTGCTAAATCAGACTTCTGTACCCTGACGCTACACTCCTTAGTCATTTGTTGTGTGCTGTTGGATGAAATCGTGACTTGTAACACTTTAAAAGGGAAAGGAGCATGGGGGTGCTGGGCAAGGTGGTGCATGCCTGTAATCTCAGCATCTGGGAGGCTGAGGCAGGAAGATCGCTGTGAGTTTGAGGCCCAGCCCCTGAACTACATAAGGAGATTTTGTCTCAAAAAAAAAAAAAATTAAAAGGCAGCATGGGTGGCCAGTAGGGATTGAAGCGGAGTGGCTTCTGGGTGTGGGGGTGTTTCTGCTGCTGTCCCCCTATGACAGCTGCCCCGTCCCCTCTTCCTGTCCTGTCACTCTCTGAGGCCCTGGGGTCTTTTCCCTCCATGTGAGTCCCCATGCTGAGTGGCCGCTCTCTGCTCCTCCTCATAGATCACCAGCGTGATCAACCCTGCTCTGGACAAGTACTTCCCGGTGGACTCCGGGGTGCGCATCATCGCCGAGCCGGGCAGGTACTATGTGGCGTCAGCCTTCACCCTCGCAGTGAACATCATCGCCAAGAAGCTGGTGTGGAGGGAGCAGGCCAGCTCTGACGGTGAGCGGGGTGCAGCCAGGGAGCTCCCAGAGCTGGGGTGGGCGGTGCTGAGCGGGCTCTGCTTTCCAGATGAGGAGGAGGCAAGCGAGCAGACCTTCATGTACTACGTGAACGATGGGGTCTATGGCTCATTCAACTGCATCCTGTACGACCACGCACATGTGAAGCCCCTGCTGCAGAAGGTGCGTCTGCCCCTGCCCTGGGAGCGGCAGGGGTCGGGAGCTCATGGGAGCAGGGTTAACAGCCACTGCTTTCTGTGCAGAGACCCAAGCCTGATGAGAAGTACTACTCATCCAGCATCTGGGGGCCCACGTGCGACGGCCTGGATCGCATCGTGGAGCGCTGTGACCTGCCCGAGGTGCACGTGGGCGACTGGATGCTCTTTGAGAACATGGGCGCCTACACCGTTGCCGCAGCCTCCACTTTCAACGGCTTCCAGAGGCCAACCATCTACTACGTGATGTCAAGACCAGCGTGGTGAGTGCGCATGCGCGCGAGGGTTCTGGTGGAGATGGGGACCTGGAACCCCAGCACTGTGGGAGGCCAAGGCAGAAGGGTCACAGGTTCAGCTTGGTTAAGAGCCTGTCTCAAAGTAAAAAGTTAAAAAAGGGCTGGGGGTGCAGCTCAGTGGTAGAACGTTTGCCTGGCATTCGAGAGCCCTTGGCTTGGTTCCACCCTCTCCAGGAAAGTGCTTGTTTGCCCTTGCTCCTGTCTAGTTGAGTCAGAAATTGCTCTGCCACAGGTTACACAGCAGGAGGGGAATCCCTCCCATAACACAGACTGAGAAGGACTGAGGAGGGAGGGCGGCTGTGTAACTGCAGTGTCTGACGGACGCAATCTGTGGCTCCCCATTAGTAGAAGGTCCTGGGGCAGCCCTTCCTGTGGCATCCAGGCTGAGCACCACTTTGTCCCCTAGGCAGCTCATGCAGCGGGTCCAGAACCACGGCTTCCTGCCCGGTGTGGAGGAGCAGGACGTTGGCGCCCTGCCAGTGCCCTGCGCCTGCGAGAGCGAGATGAAGCGGCACCCGGCAGCGCGCACTTCCGCCAGCATCAATGTGTAGACCGCCTGCCATAGGTGTGGGCCCGAGGGCAGCTTGGCTGCGGGTTGGGACCGTTAATTTAACTACTGCTAGTTCTGGGCATTTGTAAGAGTAGAGTTGGCACAGGCACAGCCAGGAGACTAGGGGAAGGAGGGTCACACTTATCTGTGTTCCTATGGAAACTATTTGAATATTTGTTTTATATGGATTTTTATTCACTTTCACACGCTACTAAAGAGGGCCCACAACTGCCCAGCAAGCGTTTGTAGCTTGTGCAGCGGCAGCATGGGCCCAAAGCTTAGTGTTGTGACCTGTTTTGGAAATAAAGCATCTTAAGAGAATTATAGAATTGGGAGATACTTGCAGCCGGCTCACCCGGCCCTGTGGCATCTGCTGGGAGCCTCACGGACCAGGCTTGTGCACCTGGGGGGTGCAGAGTGGACGATGATGAAGGTGACGAGGAAGATGGCAGCCGGGCGGGGGCTGAGCCTCAGTGCACAGAGTCTGATGAAGGTGACGAGGAAGATGGCAGCCGGGCGGGGGCTGAGCCTCAGTGCGCAGAGTCTGCAGTCTTGTGACTGGGGCAGAGTTGCCCTGGCCGTGCCTGGCCTGTGGGAGTCACATGGGCATCCTCTAGAGCTCGCTGTCTGGGTTCGAGGCATGTGGCAGTCCCCTGACTAATAAACTTGGTGTCAGCAGTGCCTGTGTTGCGGATCTGCACCTTCCTGTCCAGCTGTGGCCACTGGCCTCAGATGTCCTTTGCTCACTTTCTATCCCATCTGCTTCCACTGAGCCTGCGGCTGCCCACAGGAAGCACAGGTTACAAGCAGGTGCGGTCCCTGTCAGCGGGGCCATCATGGGGACCCTGCCAGCTCCTGGGAGGGACAGGAAGGGAGAGGCTGTGGCTGGGAGTGCCATTGGATCACTCAGGGCGGGGTGTCCTGTCTGCTGCCGGCCATGCTCTGTGCCACCCTCTGCTAGGTGGTGCAGAGTCCAGCTCCAGGCAGGGGAAGCCACTTCCCTCCAGGCCCCTGTGCCCACCCTGGCCAGGGGCTGTGGGGCGGGCCCTGGGCACCTGGCCCCAGGTTATAGAGGGAGCTGGCTGGAGCATGTGTGCTCCCCGTGCCTAAGGTCCCGGTACACTGGGCGGCCTGTGGTCACCTGCATTGGGCAGGACCCGCCCTTCCGCCTGAGGGTGTGGAGACTAAGGAGCCTGAACCAGCGTGGGGCAGGGCCATGGGTGATCTGCTTCCCTCCCCACAGCTTCTGTCACCGCACTAGTGTGTGTAACAGTGCAAGAGGGGCCAGGTGGGTGAGACAGCTGTTAAGGACAGAGGTGGGCCACGTGCACTGACACAGGACAGCCTGCAGGCCGGGAACACGGGTGTGCTGGTACTTGTGGCAAAAGCAACACTCACTAAGCTCTGTGTGAGAGACCCTCACCGCCTCAGTACAGATTAGGACATCCACGACAGGCAGGAGGGGGTGGCCAGGGAGCAGAGGCCCCATCCTTCCTGCCTTTTGGCTATGTGTGCTGCATCTTGCTGGTGACCTAGGGCCTATTCCTAGGTGTCCCTGGGTGGCAGGGTGGGTTGAGATAAGGCCAAGCCCTGCCATGCAGATGGTGAGGCCACCTGCAGACCATGCCTGGTGACTGCTTATCACCGCTCAGCAGCTGCTGAACAGCTGGAGGTAGAGCCAGGCAGGGGCGGTTGGGCTTCCGAGGTCATGGGAGCCACAGCAGCAGGCAACCCTAACCCTGGGGTCAGCAGAGGCACCCTGTTGGGGGAAGGCATCACAGACCCTGCCCTGCAGTCCTCTTCAAGGGCTCTGCCGGCAGGCACGTTGGAGGCACAGGCGGGAGGGTCAGTGTATTGGAGAGCACTCTGCTCTGCTGCTCTGCTCTGTTCTCCTGGCCTGGGGCGGGTGGGTCGGCCCTGTGCTGTCCAAGGTAAGAGGAGGGCCTGGGGACAGACAAGTCCCCACTTTCTGGGCCACTCCCTGTAGCAGGAGGGTTCCCCCATTGCACCTTGCCCTGGTGGCAGCTCAGGGACACCCCAGAGCACGGTGCCCCCCAGCCTCCCTGACCCAACCAGGCAGCGAGTCACCCTGGCTTCGGGACAGATATGCTTGGCCGAGGCCCGGCTGGGCTGGGCAGAGGGGTGGCGTCTCCGGAAAGGAGCTGGCTGCAGCACAGCCTGTGACAGTCTGGCTCCTCCAGCTCCCAGCTCCAGTCCCCTCTGACTGTACAGAGCCAGCTCTGATTTCACAAGTAAGGTGCTTGGATTTAGCAAATAAAAATACATTACATGGGGCATATGTAGAGTGAAAAATTACTCATGTTTCTCTGAAATTTTTATTTATCTGGGGCCCCTGTTGGGAGGGCCTGTGTGCTCCGTGGCCCACTACACGTCAGGCTCCCGGGATGGCTTCGTCTGCCAAAGGGAACGGAGATGGAGGGAGGCCTTGCACACAGACTGCAGGCCCGCGGCTCTGAGAGGCCTGGAGGCCTCAGGGACCCCACGTGCCCAAGCCAGGAGGGCCTTCCAAGTTGCGGCCACCAGGGGGCAGGAGCGCCTCGTGTTTAAGGTGCAGGTCCCGTGACCCATTCCCCGCCACACAGGTGCAGCTCCAGCCACTGACAAGGCAGCTGTGTGTGGGGACAGAGTAGGCCCCTATGGAGCAGGAGGGTTAAACTCCATCCTGGGCCACTCTGATCCTGTCGCCTGCCTCTCTCCCATCCACCCATCTTCCATCCACGCACCCTCTGCCCATCCACCCGTGCATCCATCCCAAGCACCACGAGACTGCAGCTGGACCATGCATGAAGCCTTGCTCAAAGGGATAAATTCCTGGGGCCACTCTGCTGTGACTCCATGGAATAAACCAACTCCAGTGCCTGCCTGCAGAGGATAGCAGAGCACTTGGGACCCCAGGGCAGAGCAGGAGAGACAGAGACCTGGGGAGCACAGGTCACAGAGTGGGAGGCCTGGGACCCCTCCTCCCAGATGCAAAGAGCCCCCAGAGGCCGGGGTGGCTGGACGCCTTGTGCTTCCTGCCAGGCTCTCTCCCCTGCCACTGGGCTCCTTGGCCCATGGCCGCTGTCTTGGGGCCCAGGGTGCCTGAGGAAGGCCAGTGCTACCTCGTGCTCCTGCTAGGGGAGTGTCCCTGGGGGCCCCCAGGCTCACGTTTCCCACATTTGGACAGGGGCGGCCATGAAGTTACTTTTATCCATCAACTTGACTGGGTCCCGGAGTGGCTGGGTGAGACCAGTCTGGAGTCTGCGGGCTAAGTGGACTGTCCTCCCCGGGGGTGGCCTCGTCCAAGCCACGGGGGCCTGAGCAGACAAAGACCGAGCGAGAGAATTCACCCTTTGCCTCGTGGGCTTGGGCATGGACACGGGCCTCCTGCTTCGGACGTGACCGGAACTAGCTGCTAGCTCTCCTGGGTTCCCAGCTGGCCAACTGCAGGTCTTGGGGCCTCTCAGCTGCTATCATCATTCACTGCGCCCAAATCCTTACCATCCAGGTGCCTATTACCTATGCATGGGTCATGGATCCATCCATCCATTCATCTGCCCATCTATTCTTCCCTCCCACCCATCCACATGCCTCTGCCCCTGGAGGCCCCTGGAGAGCCCTGACGCGGGCATCCCACTTACACCCACACCCACTGGCTCTGCTCCCCACGGCACCCGCTCCTAGCAGCACTACCTATGTGGCCTTTGCCGGGCCTCACTTGAGAGTCCTCCGCCCAGGCAGCATTGCCAGCACCCCTGTCCTGCCTCCAGCAAGCTGAGGTCACCTGGCCTCGCCCCCGTGCCCACCTGGCTTTGCCCGAGGCTTGGTGACTGTGGGCGCACGGGAGCGAGTGTGCTCGGGAAGTGGCCTCTGGGTGCCAGGACTCAGCCCTGCTGGACTTGACTGTCTCAGGAGGTGTGGAAAAAACCTCGATCAGCTACGCACCTGTGTCCATGAGCCTGCTGAGAAGACGACCTGGAGCCCTCACAGCGGGGAAGCCAGGGGACCGTGTGACAGGAGCCACTGGGGCCCCTCTTTGGGCCAAACGGCACTTCCGTCTCTCCCTGGGCCTCTCTGCCTGGCCAGTGCCCGTCATCACCAGGTCCAGCCTGGGTGTGGACAGGGATGGTGGCCTGGCCACGAGCTGGGAGGCTGCCACGGTCCAAACTAGGACGGGGGAGCCCGGGAGACGCGCTTATTGAGAAAAGCTGTGTGTGCGAAGCCGGCGTGGGAGAGGGGCACAGAAGGACCCGAGGCTCCTCAGTGATGGTTTCCCGCAGCCCCGATGTGCGACTTCCGGGCGGGGGATGGGCGTCCCCACAGGGCCAGCCGCCACGGGCCCAGGGGCGGACGGAGGCCGAGGAGGCAGGATGCAGACCCAGGCTGAGCCTCGGGCCCCACCCATCCCCTTGGAACGTGACTTCCACACCGAGACGCTCCCTGTATGTTCAATACGAGGCACATGACACTCACAGGACTCCGTTTATTTGATCATTTTAATACCAGAAATGCCAGACCAGTCAACAGGAAGGACGGTCACACAGATGCCTGCACTCACGACAAGGACGGTGCAGCGTCCAGGGCCCCGGGCATGCATGCATCTTCTCCAGCACGGGGCGGGTGCGAGGCCGAAATCCACGGGACCACCGCAGGTCACGGGACCATGCTGCACGGGCGACGGGAGGCTTCAAATAGGGAACCTACACGTCACACCTCACGTCAGCAGACACATAATTTACATATGAAAAGAAAGGACCGCAGAATGACGCGTGCAAGGGCTCTGGTCACGTGGGCAAGGGGGCGGGCCATGCACGGGAGGGGCTCGGCTGTCTGTGCTCCGCTGTCTTCGTCTTCATCTTCGGTCCCACCCAGCCCACGAAGTCCCCGCGCTGGCGCTGGGGAGGCCAACTCGGGCCTCGGCACGCTCCTGGAAAGTCCTGCCCGGAGCCCGGCAAGCCGTGCCCTGCAGAGGAGAGTTCCATCCCCGGAGTCACTTTGGAAGGGACGGGCCGGGCGGGAGGGGACATCACGCTGGTCAGGCGGAGGAGGGAGGCAGAGCCCGCAGGCCAGGTGCTTCGTGTTACTGGCCGGCCCGGCAGGAGGGTGCTGGAGGCGGAGGCGTCCGCTTTGGAGAGCAAAGCTGAGAAGGGCAGGAGCCCGGGCTCCTCGCGTCGCCCACCCCACCCCCACCCTCAGAACTGGCTGGCGCTGCTGGGGTCGCACTGCAGCAGCCGCACGATGGAGGGGTCGCTCTTGGCACCTTTGATGAATTCTTCCAGGGACAGTTTGCCTGCAGGGCGGAGACGGGAGAGCAAGGGGGGTCATCAGCACTCTTTGGTCTTTGTGCTTCCAGAGGGGCTGGGAGAGCCTAGTGGGGTGGCGCATGCGTGTCATCCCAGGACGTGGGAGGCTGAGGCAGGAGGACTGCCCGAGCCCAGCCTGGGCCGCTCAGTGATACCCTGTCTCCAAAAGCAAAACAGAACAAAACACGGGGCCGTGCAGAAGTCGGGGTTCAAGCCTTGAGTTTTGTGATTTCCACACACTTCTATGGCTTTCGTGAAAAACAAAAAGCAAAACAAAATGAAACACAAACAACCCCTTTAGCTTTTGAAGCTCTCTGCAAGCACCCAGCAACTCCAAGTTCATTCTCAGGGGCAGTGGGCCCTGCTGGACGAGAAAATACTCGCGGAAACCACCCCACACTTCACTTAGTAAGAAATTTATGAAGTGGCGCTCGCCTGTAACCCCAGTACGGACGGACGGAGGCTGAGGCAGGATTGGAGGAGTTCAACCTGGTCAACTTAGCAATTCAGTGAGATCCTGTCTTGAAATAAAAAATATAAAAAGGCGGGGATGGAGCTCAGTGGTACAGCAACCCGGGGTTCCTTCACCCAGAAAAAAAAAAAAAGAAAGAGAGGAACAAAGAGGCCCCTGACCCGTGGCCAGTTCAGGGCTTCGGGACCTTGCTGGCTGGGGTCTCCCTTGAGCATTGCTTTCTCTCTAACACTGGGAGATGAAGCCCAGCCACGCCAAGTCCCCCCAACCCCCCTCTGGGCAGAGGGGTACAGGGGGGAGGGCTGGGTGGCAAATCTAATGATACCAGTGACAAAGTTCCCAAAATTGTGCCTGCTTCCTTCCTTCCTTCCCTCTCCCTCCCTCCCTTCCTCCTTCCTTTTCTTTCTAGATAGGGTCTAACTGTGTAACACAGGTGGGGCTCAAACCCAGGATGCTCCTTCCTCAGCCTTCCGGAGTGCTGGCATTACACGTGTGCACCACCACAGCTGGCTAGGAGACCAGATCTCTTTCCTTTTCCTTTTTTTTTTGGTACTGGGGATTGAACTCGGATCCTTGTGCTTGTCCAGCAGGCGGCGAAACCACTGAGCTAAATCCCTGGCCCTCCTTTTCCATTTTTTAATCTATTTTTTATTTTTAATTTTTTTTTCAGATCTCTCTCCTGTGCATTTTGAAAACAGTTCCCTTGCTGTCTGGGAGGCTCTTTGCTGTGTGCAGTCAATCGGGTGCCCTGGTCTCCCTGCCGGGCTTAACTCACCTTAACCCAGAGCACTTCAGACTCCACATGCACTTTCTTGCGCATTAGTTTATTTTTAATCTCAGCATAGCCCAGGGAGAGCATTTTCTTTCCTTTCCTTATTTTTTTTTTGAGAACAGGAAAATTTATTGGGGAACTGGGAATAGGAATAGCTCCTCAGACACAGGAGGGGTCCCAAATGGATTGCCAGTAACAATCATCTTCGATGGTGAGTGGTTTTTTTTGGTATTGGGGATCGAACTTGGGACCTTGCGCTTGCAAGGCAGGCACCAGAACCACTGAGCTAAATCCCTGGCTCTTCCTCCTTTTTTGTTTGCATTTTTGAGACAGGCTGGCTTTGAACTTGCGATCCTCCTGCCTCAGCCTCCCAAATGCTGGAATTATAGGTATGCACCCCCCCCCGCGCCCCCGCCATGAGGTCAGACCTTCTGCACAGCGGGGTGAGCTAGAGTTCAGGTGCAGTGGCCCCGTCCCCTGGGGCATGTGAGGAGACTCATCTCATGGTGGTGGCAAGAGAGGCTTGGGCAGCTTCCCAGGACCCAAGAACCAGCCCCTGTGCCCCCCAAACACACTCCGGGGTTACAGACAGCAGGCGACAGGAAGGAGCCATCGGCTTCCACCGTGCCGCCCATGCTGGCCGCCCTACCGTCGTTGTTTGTGTCCATCTGTCTGAAGATCTTGTCTGTCCGCTTCTCCGGGGTGGACTCGTCCTCCGGCATCTTCATCACAGACGACACCATTTTGTAGATGGCCTGCAAGAAGTGTGGTTCAGGGAACACAGGGACAAGGGGCGGCCAAGCTCGGGCTCCCTGATGCACAGGAAACAGCAGAGGATGCAGCATCTGAGCCGAATGCCGGCTTCCTGACGCTGCTGTGCTAAACAACTCGGCCTGACAAGCATGGCCACAGCTCAGCCTTTGGGGTCACTCGGGGCCACCTTACCCCTGCCAGGGCCACACAGGGTCCTCGGGGTCCTGGAGCTGAGGCCCGAAGATACTGGCAGAGGAGGGAATGCTGGGAAATCAGCTTGCTGAGCCTAGGGCCTGAGAAACGCACCAGTGACTCCCTTCATAGGACACAAAGACTGATACTGTCTGTCACCTAGGCCAAGGGCTAATACACGCTGGCTTTTTTTTTTTTCTTGAGACAAGGTCTCGCTATGTAGTTCAGGCTGGCCTTGGACTTGCTTTTTGGGTTTCTTTGGTACCGGGGATTGAACTCAGGTCCTTGGGCGGCGTAACCACTGAGCTAAATCCCTGGCCCTGGCCTTGAACTCATGATCCTCCTGCCTCGGCCTCCTGAGTGCTGGGATTACAGGTATGTGCTACCATGGCTGGCTTTGTTCTTTCTTTTTAGCAGTCCTGGGGTTGAGCCCAGGGCCTTCTTACTGAGCTACATCCCCAGCCCTTTTTATTTTTTATTTTGAGACATGATCTTGCTAAATCACTAAGTTGCCCAGGCTGGGCTTGAACTTGGCATTCTCCTGGCTCAGTCTCCTAGAGAGCTGGGATGACAGGTGTGCAGCACCATGCCTGGCTTAACAAGGGCTTTTAGCCAGGGAGATGACACTGATCCCTCTTAAAGGGGCAGCCAGGGTAGCCCGGCCCCTGGAGGCCCAGGCGTGGGGGCAGGTACAGCCTCTACCTGCACAATCTCCAACATCTCGCTGCGGCTGATGTACCCGTTGCCATCCAGATCATACATGCTGAAGGCCCACTTGAGCTTCTGCTCCAGCTTCCCCCGAGAAGTCACGCTCAGCGCGATGATGAACTCCCGGAAGTCGATGGTGCCATCACCGTTGGTGTCAAAGGTGCGGAAGACATGCTCGGCGAACTTGGAGGCGTCGCCGTAGGGGAAGAAGTTGGCGTAGATCTTCTTGAACTCGTCCACGGTGAGGTGGCCGGTGGGGCAGTCCTTTAGGAAGCCCTTGTACCACTCCTGCAGCTCATGGTCGGTGAACTCCGTGTTCTCACGCAGGTCTTGCAGCACCTCCGGCCGCAGCTTGCTGTTCTGCTTGCCCATGGTGGCCGGTGACTACACCTGCAAGACACGGTCAGCTGAGGACACCGAGGGCCCAGCCGAGCCAAGCAACATCCTGGGTGTCACGAGCCATAGGCCAGAGGGACCCAAACAAGCCCATCAGTGTTTGTTTTTGAGACAGGGTCTTGCTCTGCAGCCCAGGCTGGCCTTCAACCTGTGGCAGTCCTTCTGCCTTGGCCTCCTGAGAGCTGGGGTTACAGGTGTGCACCTGAGGGGATCAACCTGCCCCAGCCCTGGTCCAGCCCCACTCCATTGCCCCCACTGGCTCTCTGATCTGCCCTGAGACTTGGGGTGACACCAGCATATTCTGGAAGGCTTGAAAACGTCCTGTTTGTTTCTTTTCTTTTGGCAGCACTAGGGATTGAATCCAGGACCTTTGTACTCAGCAACAACCCCAGCAATTTATTTTTTGAGACTAAGTTTTGCTAAGTTGCCTGGGTTGGGCTTGAACTGGTGACCTTTCTGCTTCAGCCTTCCAGAGTGCTAGATTACAGACCTGCATCATGGAAACTCAATTAATTAAAAAGATAAATAATTGAAGGCACACCATGGTCATGATGGCTGAGGCCAGGGTGGCTAACAGTTAAGCTGCTTGATTGGCTTGGGACCCACCAATCCACTCTGGACTGGTGGGATTGGTGTAGCTCTCTTCTGGGTGTGTCTGGGTGGTCATGGAGGGTGACCCTGGGGTCCATATCTGGTCCCTGCCCTTCCTCTCTGGCTCTGTTCCCCAGCTCTGCTCCCCGGCCACGATGCACTGAGCAGCTTTGCTCCACTAGGCCCTTCTGCCATGATGTTCCTGCCTTGAAGAAGCCAACCATGGACTGAATCCTCTGAAACTGTGAGCCAGATCCACCCTTTCCTCGTTTATGGTGCAGGTGTTGGGTCCTGGGAAAACCATGAGCCATGGGAAAACCAACACAGTGGCTCAGAGCCAGGGTGAGGCCTAGGCATGGCTGGTCCAGAGAACCCTAACTGATGGAGCAGGACAAGCTGTCCTCAGAACGCTGTCTGAGGTACAGGCTGGGGCTGCTGCCTAAGTAAAGATGCAAGGAAGCTGGGCTTGATGGCACACATCTGGCATCCTAGCACTCTGGGAGGCTGAGGCAGGAGGATCGCAAGTTGGAGCACAGCCTGGGTTACTTAGCAACTTAGCAAGACCCTGTCTCAAAATAAAAATTAAGAAGGGGCTGGGGATGTAGCTCAGTTCAATTCTCAGTACTGTATTAAAAATAAAGAACTAAACTAAAGCTTCTGGCCTCAAACTCCCAGTCACTCACGGGGACAAAACCCAAGATGGAGTATTTCATACAAAGGAGCTCACTTTAGCTCTCCTTGAAACTCACAGGCCCAAAGCAGCGAGGCGTGGGGAGCGAGCGGGAAGAGAGCTGCACGCTGCGGTGACCCCGGGTTATTAATTGAGTGTGGCGCAGCTGCCTGGGAAGGCGCCCGCCCGCCGGGAGCAGCCTCTGTGCAGCGCCTCACTGAGCAGAGCCATTTTCTTCTCCGCAGGGAAGCAGGGGGGCGGTGAGCGGCGCCGCCACCTGGTGAGCAGCGACGCCTGCACTCGTCACGGAAACGGGGGAGGCCAACGCAGGCCCTCGGTTCATTCTAGGGCCCCGGGACTCTGTTACTGTTCTTCATGCACTAACTTGTGAAGAAGAGACGCAGACGCGGAGCTGGGAGCCCTAGGTAAATATCTGACGTGAAGCCCGCACTGCGGCAAGTGAAAGCCTTTCTGATGGCACAGTGCTCCAGGAGCCCGGGGAACCGGGCCAAGGGCCCCTTAACCACAGCTTAGCGAGGCAGGCTCGGCCCCTCTTGAGAAACGCCCCCATCGAGCCCGGCGTGGTGGCGCACACCTGCATCCCAGCAGGCGGGAGCCTGAGGCAGGAGGATCGGATGAAGGGCCAGGGCTCAGGAAGAGGTTGGAGCGGCCTTCGCTGTGAAGCTAACTTCAAGGCATCAGACGGCTGGTGTGCAATGACAGCCAGTTCCATCTGGAACAGACCTGAGAGGCGTGGCAGGTGGGAAGCTGGCGGGTCTGTGCTTTCCTCCTCAGCCCGATTCTCCCAGTGATCCACAGACATACCCTCCTCTCACAGCGATCGTCCTGCCTCAGCCTCCAGAGGCCTGGAATGGCAGGTGTGTGCCACCGCGCCCAGCTTTGATTACAGTTTTCAAAATAACTGATGTCCTTCTTTCCTCCCTAGAAGCCGGCGAGAGTCAAGTCTCCAGTAGCCTCGCTTCCGGTGCAGTCCTCGAAGAAGCCGGTCCCAAGGAACCGGTGCTGCAGGCAGATGTGCCTGGGGCCAGGCGGGCTGCAGTGCATCCTGGCGGACACTAGAGGGCGCAGGCGGACAGGCTCGCAGACCTGAGCTGAGGCCCCGCCCCTGGACACACCTCCACCCGCTTTCTGCCGCCCTCGGGTGCCTCAGTTTCTCCATCCATAAACTAGGACTGCTCTGCACCGCACTCCCCCCCGCCTTATGCGGCTGTCGGCCATTTAAAATGTGGCCAGTCTGAACCCGTCTATGGGACCTCTGTAAATACTGGATTTTGATGCTTTTTTTTCGTTTTGGCTTTTGAGACGGGGTCTGGGTATGTAGACCAGGCTGCCTCAAACTCACAGCAATCCTCCTGCCTCAGCCTCCCGAGTGCTGGGATCACAGGCGTGCAGCACCACACTTGGGTGTCCCTTCTGTCTCTAGTGGTGCGGGACAGAGGCAGTATTCAGCATGTGATACCAAGGAGACAGGGTCTGGAGCCACCGAAGTGGCTCCCAGAGTCCTGTGCAGGCTGTGCTGTTCTTTGTGCCTGCAGGTCCCAGGCCCTTGAGCGAGAGATACCGTGTTTGCATTTCAGTCACGTAGAGGTGCAGGCTGTTTGGGGTCCAGGGATGGGGAGGCCCTGAGGCCCCTGACCCAGCGAGGTGCAGGAGTAGCTGTAGGGAGAGTGTTCTGCCTCTGCTTCCCTTTCCGAGCCACAGCAGCCGTGCCCTGTGTCCTCTGCGGAAAGAGGTCACACAGTGACCTGGTGGCCCGGATGTGAATCCAGCCGCTGATGGAGAGCAGCACTCACCACCGCCAAGGGAGGCAGTGACAGTGGCCCCTCAAGGACAGAGGCTGGGCCATGTGCATGAGCACGGTGGTGGGAGGGGGCCGCCCAGCAGAGTGGCCAGGACTTGCCTGCCCCCCCCACATCCCCCTCTGCAGCTATGCCCCATGGACACAGGGGGCATCAGCTACTCAGTGACAGGCAAAGCTGAAAAACTGGACCCAAAACATCAGAAGCAACCAGTTTCTTATTCCCAGGGACTCGGAGGGCCCCAGAAAATGTAAGAGGCATCAGCAGAGCCGGGCGAGGTGGTGCACACCTTGATCCCAGGCCTCTGGCTGGCTGAGGCAGGAGGATCTTTAGTTTGATCCCAACCTGGGCAACCTAGCAAGACTCTGTTTCAAAATTTAAAAAATAAAATAAAAAGGGCTGGGGATGCAGCTCAGGGTGAAGGCCCTGGGTTCAGTTTCTAGTCCTGAAAAAGAAACAAAAAGCCACAGCAGGTGGCAGCCTGAGACCTCAGCCTTCTCCATCAGGACGCACGGATGGGAGTAGTCCCTGCCACCCAGGCAGGCCCCTTGGGGCTCCTGTGGCTGCTGATGTCGGGTGACCTGCAGCCCACCCAGGCCTGGGCAGAGGACAACACCGCAGCAGAGCTGTCTCGGTTTGCCTGGCTCTCCCGGGGCACAGGGAGCGAATTGCTCCAGGCTGGCTTGGTGAGTGGTGACTCAGCCCTGCCCGCGGACACCAGGAAGGAACAGGGTTCCCCGCCGGGGCTGAGCAGGGGCTGTCAGGCAGTGTCACTCCTGACTGAGGCCCACACGCTCCTCCTCGAATGGGCCCCAGTCAGTGTGGCTGGGGTCTCTTCACTTGGCCCTGGGGCTGGAACCCAGGGCCTTGGCACGGAGCTGCATCTCCAGCCCTTTTTATTTTTAAATTTTGAGACAGGGTCTTGCTGAGTTGCCCAAGCTGGGCTTGCCCTTGAAAACTTCCTGGCTCAGCCTCTCAGAGTGCTGGGCAGATAGGTGTGCCCACTACACCGGCCTGAGCCCTAGGTCCCTGGCTGTCTCTGAACTGGCCTGGGTTCAGTTTCCCTGACTGTAAAACAGGAACTGTGGGCTGTGGTGAGGATGGGAAGGAAAGTGGAGAAGACTCTGGCACATGGAAAGCATCGCAGACACGAGTGAGAACTGGCACAGGCTCCGTGACAGACGCGCCGGGCGGCTTAATGAGCTTCATCACAGACAGAGCGGGGCTGGCGGGAGCTGCAGTAGCAGCCCATGGAGAGGGACCAGGAGCCCGGGTGGGCACATCCAGTTGGGAGAGGCCAGTCAGAATCTAACTGCCGTCCAAGGAAGAGGAGGGAAGAGACGCGGCAGGCCGTGCCCGGACAGGTGGCCTCGGGATGGGTAGAGGGAGGACAAAGTCTCTTGGTGGCGGGGCTGGGGCTACTCCCACTGCAAAGGGGACAGGGGGGCTAGCGAGTGCTGCAGACACTGAGGGGGCATAGGGAACTGGCTGGAGCAACCCCAGCACGAGGCGCGTGGGAGCCACGCCCGGGAGAGGACAGGGCTGCTGCGGGGTGGGGATACACACCTGCCATGCCGTGTGTCTGTGTGAGCCCCTGCCGGGTGCGTGCGCGCCGTGCACACCGCAGACCCCACACAGCACATCACAGCCCCTCCCCACGTCACCCGCACAGCCCTTCTGTCCGCACATCCCCTGGGTCACACATCACATATGCTGCCTCCCCTCCCGCTGGGGTGGCCCCACCGACTGTCCCCAGGCCTCGGTCCCACCAGGACAGGCCTGCCTTTGTGGGCGGCTGGCCCTCTGGGAGGGAGAGGGGTTCACTCCTAGGAGTTTGCTCCTAGCACCAAACACATGGCCCTTGCTTTCCGTTCATCCACTCATTTGCTCATCCATCCTTCTATCTGTCCACC